AAAGGGCCGCGGGTTCACGCATAAAGAGAACTATGTGAGCTGGATGGTTCCGGCAGGCTGCCAGTACACAGGTGGTGTTGGTATCGGAGTAGTTGAGTTGTCCCTGAGGGTTGGAGGTAACATTGGCTAGCAATAAGGCAAATGGGGGCCGCACGCAAATGGGGGTAGGGGGCCAGGATGTCGTGTGATCAATGGATGTAAGGATTTTGTTTTCTGCACAAGTAGAGGGATTGGTGTTAGTGTAAGTGCCATTGGAAAGCTGAAGGCCCTGCTGTGCCAGTAACGGCCTCATGTCTATGCAGGCGTGTGGACCACAGAGGTCCCAGTTACCAAGTATTATTCACGGTTGGTATAGGAGATCTTAATGCCACAGGGATAGGTGGGGGCCAGTTGTCTCCAAGATCCTAGGGGGTGATTAAAGGGGGAGCAGCTGAAGCGGCAAAAGGGAGGGATGGCATGGTTGGGCTTAGGGTGGCATCTCTGCCATGGTATAGGGAGCGCGAGGAAAAAGGGCGCAAGGGAGCATGTGCGTGGGCAGTTGGGAAGCAGTGGGTGTAGAATGGCAGGACAAAATGGGGGCGGAGGGGTGGCGGTCCCTTCTGCCTCCCATTATTATTGTCCCCAGTGCAGTGAGGACCAAGGCTACATCAGTGTTGTTGAAGGTAGGGGAAAGGCCCTTGAGTTTAAGCATGTAACCCAAGGAGGCACTGCTGGCATAATCTTGAACGGTCAGGTTGAACAGCCCAATGCGTGAGGATGCGTTGTTGGTAGTGAAGCATAGAGAGTTATTTAGGGGCCAGGAGCCATTAAATGATTCCCAGGAAGTAACTGGGTCCATGGTGGGGAGGCCAAGCGTAGAATTAGTTGAATAGAGGGTGGGGTAGGCTGGGGAATGAGTATAGGAAGGGCAGAGTATAGGAAGGGAGGGGACCAAGGCCCAGAGGTCATGGGCTGTGGCAGGGGTGGGGAAGAGCAAACCAATTATCCAGATAGTGGCAAGATCTCTGGGTCCTGGGGGGTCCCGTTGGTCAGTTGCTGATCTCACATTTCTTGCTGGAACCCATACTGGCTTTGTTTCTGAGGAAACACACAAGCATAGCCTTGCCCTCTTGTTAACAAGGGGGTGGGTGGTTGCCATTGACATGTTATGGGGTCCTTCCATCTCACTAGTGGCAGGGGTGTTGGGCACGGTGTTGTCCTTTCCCTGATAGTCCCAAGTTATTGTGGGGCATGATATCATCATAAAAGGCATGGTCATCTGTGGTAAGGACCGCGCCCATGTCCTCTAGGACATCTCGGCCCCATAAGTTATGGGGAATGTCCATTACTAGGGGGGTAACTGTGCCCTGGTTCCCATCCAAGTTCTTACAATATACTGGACGTGTGACCAGCTTGGTATCTTGTTTGTGGCCAACTCCTTTTATTGGTGGGCCTGGCCGGTATTTCCAATGAGGCAATTTAGGGGATTCAGTTTCTGATACAATGGTGACATCAAAACCCGTGTCTACTAGGCCCTTTATGGCAGTTCCATCTAGGAACAGGGTCATTAGTGGGGAGTGGTTGAGGATTGAAGAGTCCATAATATCTATCTCATTTCCCCTCTTGTGGGCGGGGCTGAGGGGCGCCCCAGATGGAGTTTAAAGGAGCCGAGTCTGGTTGAGGCTGTGACCTACAGTCTTTAGCCCAATAGACCCTTTTTTGCACTTGGGGCAGAGAGTCTTGGGGCGGGCTGTACCTCTTGGGCAGTGGCTATGAAAGTGGCCAAGCCCCCACAGTTCCAGCAGCCTTCCCGTGTGCCAAAGTGGGTGGGTTTTCCTTGAGACAAAAGAGTCTCCAAGGAGGCGGTCAAAGCCTCAATAGGGCCCGCCCTAGGGTCTAAGTCTCTAGTAGTGAGTACCCATTTGTGAATGTTATCATTGCGGACAGGTATGATAGCATTAGGAGTAGGGATGTTTAGTCCCTCCCAAGTTAACTGTTTGATAAGCACCTCTCCACTGCCTCGGTGACACAGGTAAGGAAGTCTGTGAAGGACTCCTCTGACTGTTGAATCAAATTACAGAAAAAGACTTGTGGGTCATGGGGGCGCTGGGGACGGGAGCAACATTTAAGGGCCTTAAAGGCCAAGTCAGAAACTTGTTGAAAATAGGCATGGAGGCCAATAGTAGACTGGGCGCTGTGGTCAGTATACTATCCGCATCCCGTGAGCATGACCACCATAATGTTGAAGCCATATTGGAGATTTAGGCATGCCTGGTTTTCAGCCTGATTGTCATAGGCTGTGTGCCAGTTTAGAAAGACTGAGGATTCTAATACTGCCTTTAGTAAGCTATAAAATATAGGGAGTCAGGGCCTGATTGCTCAGCTGCCTTACGGATAAGAATGAGGTCAGCAAGTGGGGTGGGCAGCCATGGACACTCCGCCGCATCAGGGCCGACGTTGACTGGAAATGCGGACAAAGGCAGGTGAGGGTTTAAGGAGGGCAGCCTAGGAGGGAGGGGCATGGTAGCAGGGGAAGAGATGGGATGGTTACTGAGGGGGAAGAGAGTAACTCCTTCTACAGGTATGGGGCAGGGGAATTTCTGGGAATAGTAGCTCTAAGAGAGAATCCTGAGATATAGGCAAAGGAGCTCCTTCCTTATTGGAAGTGGGCACAGAGGCAACGTCCACCTCTGGGTCCAGGAGGTCCGGGGTCGAGGTAATAGTCAGATCTACACTAGATTGCTCCCAGCAGTGTTTGTTGTGGGCCGAGATGACTTCCTCAGGAAAGGAGGATTTAAGGCTAGCAATGATGGCTAGGCAGATTGGTATGAACGATGTGGGGGTGGTGGGGAGGAGTGATCCCTGACCCGACCTCCCTTTCTCAGGCCAGGAAGGGGACCCGTACCCACATGTCAGGGTCCCATGTTTTCAGGGGAGACCCACGGAGCTAAATTAGTGGCTTCATCCCAAAAGGGTTCGATATCTTTTGGTTTCACTTTCAAACCTCTGGTTTTAAGGAGCACCTTGAGTGCTGCTGTTTGTGGTTCCCTGCATTGTGGTGGTAAATTGCCCATTGTGGGAGGGGATCGCGAAGGGGAATTTGCCATAAAAGTAGGAGACGAGGGGTGACTACCAAGAGGGTACAAAGGAAGCAAAGAAGCACTGTGAGCCACTCGGATGTAAACCGCCCTGACATGTAAAGGTGTATTGGATCCAAGTGTCTTGTGCTCAGTGAGGGACTTCTGGAGGCCATGACACCTCCAGCCGTATGCTCACACGGTACAGGGTGACCTGAAACCTGGGCTCTGAGTTTGGGGTGGATCAGCCCTTATGTGAACTCACCGGGTCAAGCCCAGAGGCGGTAGGTGCCAACATGGGCTTCGGGACCATGTGGCGGAGTGTGCCTCCCTGATCTAACAAACTAGTCCAACAATAAAGATGACAGACAGGGTAGAGGGGACAGAGGAGGGGGCTACTTGCTTACCCTTGAGCAGCCGAAGAAACAGACAAATCCAGGGACCTACTTACTGAACAGAGGCTCTGGGTATCATCCAGGGACCTACTTACCGAACGGAGGCTCTGGGTATCGCCAACACCGTGGGCAGAGGTCCCTGTTCAGGTGCTAGGTGTTGCGGGTTCTCCTCAGGCCAGCTATGAAGACCCTGACCTGGATTGGGTCCCCTGCCAAATTAGGGGGTAAGAGGCGTGGAGTCACGACACAGACCCCAGGAGTTGGGCAGAAGCAAGCACTAGGTGAGGTGCTACAGTCTTGTTTAATGCAGGAGGGGGAAGTCCTTATATTTCCCTTTTCTCCGCCCCCAAGTCTCTTTAGTCAGCGTATTGTTTTCTGATTGGTCTGTGCCATGCAGTCTGTTAGCAGTTACTGGGCTCGTGAGCAGGGTGCGGAGGCATGGGCTCCTTTTGGCGGGCTTTTTGCAGACCAAGAAGTGAATTCTTGCTGAATCCCAAGGCTCTGGGTCCACACCATCTTTGGAGGCCTCCTGCTACACAAAGCTTTCCCTTAGGTGGCCTTTCTAGTTTCTGTTGGACCTGCTTTGTTTCATTTTACTTCTTAACTGCAGTGGAATCACATCTGAGCTTTGATCAGTGGCTTAAATTAAAATTCTAAAGCCACCAGGCTAGAGAGATGGCTTAGCAGTTAAGAGCATTGGCTGTCTTTCCAGAGGGCATGAGTTCAGTTCCCAGCACCCACATGGTGGCTCATAAATCTCTGTAAAGACAGTTCCAGGGGCTCTGATCTCCTCTTCTGGCCTCCAAAGGCACTGCATACATGTGGTGCACTTCCATACATGCAAGCATAACAGTCATACATATAAAATAAAAATAAATCTTTTCAAAACTTAATAAAATAAAATTCTAAGGCCAGAAATGGAAAGCATTGGAGGCACATTGGCCTCCCAGGATCTAAGGAGAAAGACCCCTTTTCCCTCCTCTGTGCCAACTGGGGTTCTTCCAGGAGCATTCTAATCAGAATTCTCTTTTTTCATATGTTTAGTTTTTACTTTATGTGTATGAGTCTGTGTGTGTGCATGTGTGTGAATGTCACATGCCTGTGGGTGCCCATGGAGGCCAGAAGAGGGAATCAGATGCCCTGGAGCTGGAGTTAAAGGTAGTCATGGATGCTGGGAACCATAACACCATTCCAATGGATCTGACACCCTCCCCTGGCCTCTGTGTGCATTGCGAACCATGGTTACCCTTACGTACATGCAGGCAGAAAACAATTACACAAATAAAAACATAAACGGAGGTCTAATCCCAATGGGGCTTTTCCAGTAGCCACACATTGTTGGAAACTCCTCATACTGTAACACCTGTGGTTTGCCTGACTCACAAGACTGCTTCTTAGGCCTGTGGGTAGGAACTACAAGACAGTTAAAAACAAAAACACATAAAAACATAATTTAAAAAGACAATATCCTGCAAGAAGCATTTTATAATGACTGGTTTTTAATATTTTATATTTTATGTGCATGAGTATATTGCTTCCATGTATGTAAGTGCACCCGTGTTGTACAATGCCCACAGTGGTCAGAAGAGGGTGTCAGATCCCCTGGAACTGGAGTTATAGATGATTGTTAGCTGCCATGTGGGTGCTGGGAACTGAACCCAGGTCCTTTGCAAAAGCAGCCAGTGTTTTTAACTGCTGAGCCATCTCTCCAGCCTCCTGGTCAGATTCTTAATGTATGCTGGAGGGCTGGTGTTTTATTGGTTTTTTTTTTGTTTGTTTTTTGTTTTTGTTTTGTTTTTAGGAATCTGAGGATGGTGGAGCATCTGGAAATAACAGGGAGGCCAGGGCTGGAGCAGAATATTCCCATGGTCTGTGCTTCACTTGGGACTGGGTCCCTTCCAAAGAGAGCAAGGAGGATTATTTAGGTTCATAATGGGTCAATAGGTTACCAAGTTTTAGATGTCAGAGAATTTTAGAACCAAGTTAAGCATAATACTGTCATTTACTGAGCATTTATTATGTGCCAGGAGTTTTCAGTCCTTACACAGCCTGTGGCATAGATGTAACTACCAAATTAAGGCTTGTTCCATATCCCACAAGGAGCTGGCAAGGAGAGGTCTAGGAAAACATTTTACTCATCTAATGTTTGGTTGGGTGTGTTTGTTTCTTTGCTTTTTTTGAAACAGGGTCTCGCTATGTAGGACAGGCTGGACTTGAACTCATGATCCTTCTGCCTCAGCCTTCTGAGTGCTGGGATTACAGATGTGTACCACCATGAACAGCTGTTTTCATTTCTCTGGAGGCAATATAATTGAAGAACAAAACAGATCATTTCAAGAGGCCAGTGTTAAAAATTTCATCCAAGGGGCTGAAGAGATGGCTCAGTGGTTAAGAGCACTGACTGCTCTTGCAGAGGACCGGAGTTCGATTCCCAGCACCCACAAGGCAGCTACGAACTGTCAATTCAAGTTTCAGGGGCATTTGAAGCCCTCTTCTGACCTCCGCAGCATTGCACAACACGGGTGCACTCATGTACATGCAGGCAATACTCTCATACACATAAAATAAAAATAAATTTAAAAAAAATAAAAATAATTCATCTAAAACAGTTCTAAGGATAAAATTAACTTCTAGCTGAATGTGTGTGTTCTGGTCAGCTGAGCAACTTCTCCCCAGGCACTATGAAAGGCGGCCACAGATCCCAGGTCCCATGTGCCCTTGCTCCTATGATTGAGGGAAAGAAGGTAGGGTTTGGACAGGATATGCTGACATTATCAATAAGTCCAGCAGGTGGCAGTGTTTCCCAGAGCAGCAGAGCCCACCAAGTTCTGCAGAGGCCTAGGGAAGCGAATTCTGGTTTGTGGGAATAGAAAGAGCACAGCACCTGCCTATATTTTTTTCCCCTTGTGGTGCTGGGGATTGAACCCATGGCCTTGTGGATGCTAGATAAGTGTTCTACCACTACACTGTAACCACCCCTCAGTTTAAAATTTTTGCCTATTTATAATTTTATTTATTTACTTTTATTATTTTTTAACGTGCATGAGTGTTTTGCCTTCATCTATGTAAGTGCACCACATGTCCACGGAGACCAGAAGAGGGTGTCAGATCCCCTGGAACTGGAGTTAAGGATGGTTGTTAGTTGCTATGTGGGTGCTGGGACTAGAACCCAGGTCCTCTGGAAGAGTAGCCAGTGCTCTTAACCACTGAACCATCTCTCCAGCCCAATCTCTCCATAGTTTATTTTTTAAACACTTTAGTAAAAACATTCAGGGGAGGCTTTGGTGAGATGGTAGCCACAGGAGCAGACACTTCCTTTTCTGCCTGCCAGATGCCCTTGGCTGCTCAAACTCCCCCAGTGATATTCCCCATGGTTCTGTCCACTCAGAAATACTCCAGGATGTGTAGTTCCAATCCACATTTTCACTCACCTGTCCCACCACCCCATCACCTCCCTGCCTGTTTCCTGCTCCATTTCCCTGAAGGCCAGTGCTCTGTACATCTGGTGAGCCGCTCCGGTCCTTTGGGCTTGTTGATCTCTGCTGTGGTTCTCCTGCAAGAACCAACCACACTCCTGGGCAGAATGGGAGGCAAGTTGTCTGCAGGCAATCCTGGCACTCAAATCAATAACAAAAGGTGGCAACTGTTGACTGTGAGAAAAGACATTTCAGGACAAGGGAGGCTTTGCCAGGTTTGTGCTTGAGGCAGCTACTACAAGTTCACCTGTGAGCACCAGTGGGAAGTGCCTCGCTTCCAATCACAGCCTTCAGAGAAAGACTTCTTTCTGCTCTCCAACAGGCAGCCCAAAGTTCCAGGCTGGATGACATAGTTTTTTTGATCTTGAAGATGTTCAGGCTTTAAAGAGCTTTGTACTGTAAATGTAAGTGTCATAGCAGTCATTGAAACTTTGCATAAGTATCATGGAAACTAGTGGGTGATATAGGAAAATGCGTGCTGCGACAAAGTGGACATAAATATTGTGAACTGTAATTTTTCTAATAACACCCAAAACAGTTTACATACAAAACCTGTACTAATTACTTGATTATGTTTTGTTTTGTTTTCTGGGACAGGGTCTCTCTGTATAGCCCAGGCTAACCTTGAGCTATCTGTCCTCCTCCTTCCTCTCCCACATGCTGGGATTACAAGACAGTACCACCACACCCAGCTCCATATTAAGTTTAAATTAGAATGTTATACATTTCTAGAAGCTTTGTTTTCAAAACAGGTATTTTAAATACCACCCCCTCCAAATTTTGATTGTTAAGGGATAGGCATCAGACAGGCATAAGATGCTAAGAATAAAGGGGAAAATCTAATTTTAATAAGTCTTCCTTTTATCAGTTATTGGCTAACTTTAATCAGTACTATTAGATGTGTACTATGTACTAAGGGGCATCACTAGACTCTATATTATGCTCTTGTATCAGATCATTTTATCAGTAGGAAAACAAGCCAATCTATTTAATTTGCCCAAAGTCCTCAAATTTATAAACAGTCCCTGGGAGTCAAGAACGCCTTGCTCTTTCTACTTGGCTGTGCCGTGGTTACTGCCAGAATAAACCAATATGCTAGATCTTGGCTAAATGACTTAGTGGAACTCTCCAAAGCCCTCTAATTTTTGTCCAAGGTCTTTACTGAAATGCAAGAATAGAATCCTTATGGTTTATTCCCCTGACTTCCTGTATTTTCAAATATCTCGTGCAAGTAATGCTGTACTTACAAGAATGCCATAGTTCTGTCCCTAGACTTGTGTATTGACATGGGACTTCTGGTGAACTAGAGGTGTGATCACTATTCAAGAGGGAGATGTGTTCAGGCATGGTATGCCTGGTCATCACAGCTAAGCACTGCTTTGGACTGCCCATCCTGTTTGTTCTCAGCATGTAGAACTCAGCATTTTGCTTCCTAGTACAAGCAGCTCCTGGCTCCTTCTCCAGATTCAGACACCTACACACACCTTTTGCTGACAGGAAGAGCACCCTAGCTGTGCTGCAGGTCCAAGTAGGGTAGGGGATGACAAGCATTAACACGTCTGTCCACTGCAGAGAGGCAGTGTGTTGGCTCTCAGGCCTAGCAAGAAGGACCAGCCCATCGAGTTTGGTTTATAGGGAATGGAGATGATGCCTCTGAATATATTCAATGGGTGTATTTTTCTTTCCACTTAAATCACGATATCTGTGGCTCTCCACCCATTTCATCAACAGGTTTCTATGCTCCAGGGAAAGGGAGATGCTATCGAGAACTAGGTCGATGCTCCTTGGCTGCCAAATTCCTAAGAACTTTAAAAGAATGTAGTAGTGAAAAGTGATCTTCAAAGCGGGTGTATCCAAGACAGACAAAGAGGTACAGAAAGGAGCTAATACAACTTCTGTTTTCTTTTTTCTTTTTGGTTTTTTTTGAGACAGGGTCTCCCTGTAGCCCCAGCTGGCCTGGAACTCACTATGTAGACTAGGCTGGACTTGAACTCACAGCAATCTGCCTACCTCTACTTCCAGAGTGCTGGGGGAGAAAAGGTGTATGCTACCACACCTGGCCTCCATTTTCATTTTTTATTTCATCCTTTAAAATGTTTATTTGTGGGGGCTGGAGAGATGGCTCAGTGGTTAAGAGCATTGGCTGCTCTTGCAGAGGACCCAGGTTCTATTCCCAGCACAACATGATGGATAACCACCATCCATAATTCCAGTTCCAGGGGATCAAATGTTCTCTTCTGGCTTCTGTGGGCATCACACACATGTGATACATACATGCAGTCAGAACACCCATAAACATAAAATAAAAATAAAATTTAAATGTCTATTCATGAATATCTATATTTTACAAAATATGTACTATATTAATATTAGATGTGTATTATTTTGAGATTACATCATATTAATATATACATCATTGCCATATCACAAATATGTGACATAGATATTACACATACACAGTTGGCCATGCTTACCTCCTGTGAGTTCTCAGAAATATTTAGGAATAAGTGCATTTATACAGACCATGCGCATGTTGTAATTCTCTACAAGACTCAGCAGAGCAACTAGTCATATGACACTTATTTTACATTTGGTATCATAAATAATATAGGAATAATTTACAGTCTGAAGAAGGAAGTGTGTGGTTATATGTCAATACTATCCTGTTTCACTTAAGGGACTTGAGCACAGATTTTGTTAGCCAAGGGAAGTCCTGAAACTAACTCTCTGTAAATACTAAGGGATGACTGTATACCAAACGTAAATATATGATGTGTGTGTATACATGCTCAAATTCATATAACATTTGTTATATATAGTTTAGAGGCTATATTTTGTATACATGTGTCTTACCTTCTACATATATTAAATATAAATGTACAGGCTCAGTTATTATTGTTACTAGGGATATGTGATGAAAAAATTGAGTCCACTGATCTTGAAAGCAAGA